TATAATTAGTTTAAAACACAGTCTTCTACTCATTTTTGTCTCAGATCCAAATATTATTATATTCTTATTAAACATTCAACTTAGTAAAAACTCTGAATGTATGTGTCTTATTAATAAGCTTTTAAATTAGAGGGAGTAAGTACTTGTTTTTAATAGTACTCTTATTAAGATAATAATAATTCTAAACTAAGTAGAGCTTTCTATCTTTCTTTTTGACAAAAAAGAAAGGAGAGACTATAAGAGACTTTAAGGGTTGAATCTAGCTATTCTAAAGATTTTCCTAAAGGAACTTGTCAAGTGTCTCCTACTTGTCTCTATTAAGTAAGTAAACTTTATAATTCTTAAGTTAGAAACTCTTAGTTAATTCAATTGTATAGTTCTAAGAATAGTGTTTAAGAAACTAGTCAAATTCCTTTTTACTAAAGACTTTAGAGAACTCTCAGACAAAATCTAGTAGACTGAGTCTATATGTGTTCTAAAGTAGAGTTATTTTGAGAGGGTTCTAAACTAGTTCTGTTTTAAACATTCTTTAAATTAACTCTGTTCTGTCTTAACTAGAATATATGTTTATATATTTATCCTAGTTGAAGAAGAACAACTAGTTACCTTTATTAGAACTGTTAGTAATATTAGAAGTGTTTGTATTTACTTAGAACAGTAGTATAAGATAGTTGTAAGACTTAAAACACTAATTAAATATAAGTGTCTACTCTAACTAGTTAATAGTAGGATTGTAAGTCTTAAACTATTTGAATCTAATAAAAACATCTATCTTTCTAAGGTTAGTAACTCTAAACTTAATACTTTCCTTATAATCCTAAATAGTCATTTATAGTTGGACAAACTTAGTAATTTAACTATTCTAGTTTAGAGTTCTGTCTATATTATATACTAGAATTAGAAGTAAAACACATTAAGTAGAGAGGTAGTATTCTTACATAAAGGCCTTATTAATGTATAAGCTAGTATATCTACTATCTACTAGAACTATTATTCAAATCTGGGAGAATCCTAAGAAGAGAGTTAAGAGGACAGAGACTTAGAGCTAGTATTTAAAACATTCTTAAATAAACTACTACTTGTTTTAAAGAGAATATACAGCTTGTACAGTCTTGTTATCTAAGAGAGTAAGTATATATACTAACATTTCCTTATTAACCTCTCTCTTTTAATAAGGACAGACTTATGTTCTTAACTATAAACTCAGTTAAAGCTATTCCTACTTAATATTACAGACAAACTACTAAGTAGTAAACAGGGCTAAGTAGTATTCTAAACATTCTAAAATCTTAGAATATAAAAGTAGTAGGTCAGATTATACAGATTTAAACTTAGATAAAGTATAAAGAGAAGAATCAAAAGAATTAGAAGAAATAAGAGAACTATTTACTTTTGTTTTCAACTTTTTTCTTTCTAATAAATAATTTTGTTAATTTACTTTTTCTACTTTTTCTACTTTTCTTACTTTATTTACTTCTAATCCTATAGTGTCTATTAAATCAAAAGTAACTATTAAAAAATCTGAGTTATAGCTCTTTAGTGTTACATTTACTATTAAGTCTTTATAAAATTTTAGAGTATATAGTTAAAGTTTAAGAGTTCTAAAGTAACTTCCAGATTTGTAGAAAAGGCTTCTTACTACAAATCCTACTTATTACTTATTATTACTCTAATAACCTAACAAATATACTATTACTTCTATAAGTAGTTCTTAATCTAATACTCTAACTTTTTATAAATAAAGTATACTCCTTACTTTTAGGCTTCTCTAATGTTTATCAAAACAGATTGATTATAAATTATAGACAGATTAATCTGAGGGCTTAGAACTGTTAGAGCTAAACACATGTGTAAGTATTTTACATAAACTTAACACATTTAAGTTATAGTTTAGTTAAAGGAAATAGTGTGTATCTTCTACTTAGTATAAGTAATTAGTTCTAGTATTATTCTAAGAATCTTATTAACTAGTTCTAGGTAAAGAGCTTTTTCTAATATTCTAATAAGAACATTATTAAACTTAAGTACAAATCCTGTCTTCTAGGCTAGAATATTAAACTCTTAAAAGAAAGTATTAATAGAATGTTTACTTTGTTATAAAGACACAAGCTTGTTCTGTATATTATACTTCTTATTCAGATTAATAAAGAAAGTATAAAGCTACCTTATAAATTCTAAATACAACTCATTATTCTAAAGTCAGATTAGGTTTCTAATTTAATAGTTTTTAATTTAGTTCTAGGCCTAGATAGTTATATTATCTTCCTTTATAAAGGAGAGAACAAATAGAATGTAATTAAGGTCTAAGAATAGGTCAGTTAAAATAATAGTCACATATAGTTTAACTTAGTACTAGAAATCCTTAAAGTACTACTTATTAAAGTTTAAAGGGTAAGTTACATGTACTTTCTTTCTAGAATAGGTTACAACTTCTAGAATGATTAGAACAGGTTTTAAAGAGGTTAGAGGTATATAGTTAGTAAAAGCCTTTTAGATAGAGGTTTATATGTATTAAGCTAGATTTACTTGTAACTACTAATCTGGTAAGATAGTAAAAGTAGTAGTTAGTATAAGAGAGTCTATATTTATACTATAAAGGAATTAGTACTAAACTAAAAAGGGTAATAAATAGAAGAAGAGTGGTAAAAGTTTAAAAGAGTTTAGAAAGTTTAAAATTTAAAAATGTAAAAAGGTTAAAACAAAGAAAAGAGATTAACACAATAGTAAGTACTAATACTTAAAATATAAGAGAGTTGTAAGATAATAATAAGTAGTCTTAATCTAATGTTAGTAACAGTATAGAGAGGACCTAAAGGCTTAGTAAGGGGACTCAGACTATAACTATCTTATACAATAGAAATACAAAATGTAAGTACTAGAATATAGTTAGAACTTGTAGAACAGGTAGAGAGAGAGAGTAAGACAAGAGTAGAGTATATAGAGTAAGTTTAAGAGTACAAAACTATTTAGAGTAGACAAGATCAAAACTACAGAACTAGTCTAATCTTATACACTTATATATACTAAACTATATAAGAGTACTTAGAGTGTATAAGTTACTAAGAATAATAAGCTATAAAGAATAAAAGAAAAGAAGGTTAAAGATAAAAGTATAAAGAATAAAGAGATAGATAAAGAGTAAGAGACTATAAAATGAACAAAGAATAAAGGAGTAGTTAAAGGAATAGAATAATAAAGTAAGGAAGGGTAGTAGTAAGAGTTAGTACACATATAGTTTATAGACAGTACTTCTAAAGGATGAAAGTCTTAAGTTCTAGTATAAAAGAGTATAAAACTCTTAGAACTAAAGGTACAAGAGTAGAGAACTGTAACACTTCTTACTTTATTATTCTGTTCCTTTGTCTACCCCTTTATTCTTTATTTATTCTATAGTCTTTTACTCTTTATTTATCTCTTTATTCTTTATACCTTTATCTTTAACCTTCCTTTCTTTTATTCTTTATAGCTTATCATTCTTAGTAACTTACTATTCTCTAAGTACTCTTGTATAGTTTAGTATATATAAGTGTACAAGATCAGACTAGTCTTATAGTCTTAATCTTGTTTACTCTAAATAGTCTTATACTCTTAAACTTACTCTATATACTCTACTCTTGTCTTACTCTCTCTTTCTGTCTATTCTACAAGTTTTAACTACATTCTAGTACTCACATTCTGTATCTCTGTTATGTAGAATAGTTGTAGCCTAGGTCCTCTTACTAAGCCTTCAGGTCCTCTCTATACTGTTACTAACAAAAAGAGGACAAATGTTAGTAAGACTTAATTTGTAAATTAAGATTACTATTTTTTAGTCTAACTATTGTTAGTAAGCTTATTATACTTTTGTTAATACACAGTTAATAAACAACTATTTTAAGCTCTTATATTATATTCTATATAGTAATTTTCCTTAATAGTAAGTTTTGAGTTATTAATCTTACTCTTACACTATTATATGTTTAATCTGTCTATAATAGTTATAATAGAAAGAATCTGTATATAGTATTTACTATAGTATTTGTTTTAGTAAGTTAAATAAAAGAAGACATTAAAAGCTTTAATAAAGAAGTACTTACAAATTAACATATAAATATTTTTTACTCTTACATTTACTTACTATTAAAGTATAATAACTGTATAAATACTATACTTAATTTTTGTATTAACAAAAAATATAATAATTAATAAAACTACTAGCTCTTATATATTACTAAGACAGACAACAAGGAGGAAGTTATTATAAAGTTTGTACAGTAGTACTTATTAAATCTTTATAAGGTTTGTATTAACTCAGATTATATATTAAAAATACTTAGTTTTGCTAAACTGTCTAGTAACTAGTATATAGTTATAATAGATTATTACTCAATAACTGTACTAATTCTCTGTACACAAGAGCTGTCTGATTGTTAAGAGTAGTGAGCCAGTAAGTTATAGTATTTTATAAACTTGTTTTACAAAAGAGACTTAGTTTATAACAATCTGTATAATACAAACATTATTTGTACTAATAAGAAAATAATGTTAGTTAACTTTGATTAGAGTAGAAGGTCTGGAGAAGCTTGTTATCCAACTGTCAGACTGAATCCTGAACTGACAGATAGTTAACACAAGACAGACTTGAAGATCAGGATAGTAGATAATAACTGAGTGTTAGAGAAGATACTGAAGAAGATTTGTAGAGTGTACACTGTACCTATTCTTCTCAACTTCTGTTTCAGCTAGAACAATTGTACTTTCATATTTTTACTTTATAAGAAACATGCACCAATACTGTGTCTGTTACTGATTTACATTAATTAATGTGTCACAAAAGTATTGTGCATTTCCCCCCTTTCTCAACTGCTTGGACAACAACTTTGCATTATCATTACAAATCACGCACCTACTACGTCAATCAGTATAAGCACGGCTCTGAGCGTACTCAATACCAGGTCAGAACGTGCACTACTACTAATCAAAACAAACAAATAAAATCAAAGATCGGGTTTCTCGTTTCACTACTGTTGTTTACACTCCTCTTGTATCTCGCCCTTCTTCCCAGCGCCGCGCCCTTTTGCCGCGTGTCGATGTCTTCCATGCCCAGGTACATCCTCCACATCACTCTCATCGTCTTCAAAATCATTGTCCGAGTATTCGTCCGAATCAAGATCGTCCACGTCGAACTCCAGAGCCTTCCCTGTAAAGTAATCGATGGCCCTCGGGATGAAGCGGTCGCGGATATCTTCACCAATCTGTACGTATACGAGTAAAAAAGGAGGGTTGTAGATAATATGCCGATAGTACTGTACCTGATAGTCGAGTTCCAATCGAGACTCTATTTCTGCTCGAGCATCAAACGCATCCTCATTGTCCTCGTCAATCTCTTCTTCCGGAGGCGGCGGCGGAGGGGGACTAAAGAAGCTGAAAAGAGATTCAACGGGGTGCGCCTTGCGCATAAGACGAACTCTGTTCATGTCTACAAAGCTCGGATCAGAATACAATAGTAATTAATAATGCTAGAGCAAAAGAATCTCACTTTAATTTCGCTGTTTCTTGACCTCAAATTCCTTGATCAAATCCTTATCCTTTTTCCACCTAATGGGCGTGCCAACAGCTCGATCATACACAAAGTCCCCAGAGTAGTTGATTGTAAAAACACGTCTTCTCCACTACCTCGTCCTCAAAAGACCCGTTCAGCTCGAAGTAGAACTTCAATTTGAATCCTAGCTCCTTCTCGCCATCAAGATACCCTAACCTCACGCCCCTCAGATTCTCAACGCCCCCGCGTTACGATCCGTCATGAGTTCCTATATGCCAATATGATTCCAGAGTGCCATAAGCCAAAACTCGGGAATAGGGGCAGAGGTCGCGTTGCCTTCAGGCAGTGGCTCAGTTATATACTCCTCTGCAAGAGGCTGCCCAGCAGCAAACTCTTCAGAAGTCGAAGCAGCAGATCCAGAGATGATAGCAGTGCGTCGCTCAAACAGCGGCTTTGTCCGCTCAAGGTACTGCGGAACATCATTTAGCCAAGCACGCGAAAAGAAGACATGTGAAATATGTGCGCAAACGAACCTTCTTTTCAAGAGCAAATACCTCTTGTTTGAATTCTTGCTGAAGTCTGGTCTGCTTTAGTTGTACGCCTAGTAATCCCGTTAAACTCCGTTTGCCGTCGACACTGAGGGATGCTACAGGGTGCTCATCCTCCAGCTTGTCGACTTCCTCTGATACAGTCTCTGGAATCGTCGGCCTCGAGAGACCTGCTGTAATAGGTGCATTACCAAAGGTTTATTCTGGTGCGTTGGCGCAGTGGGGTCAACAGCGTTGATCGGGACATTGGACAACAATTGTGGACAAGGAGAAAGACTCACTCAGACTGAGAGAGCCAATGGGTTGCTGACGCATACAAAAGCCATGTGACATGCTGGCACTTCATGAATCACGTGCACTGAAATCAGGTTCCGAAATCGGGTTGCCCGTTGCCGTTGTTCGAATTTCTAAGCAAGCGAGGCACTCAGAGCATTTCAGTCCCTTCAACAACTCTGATCGGCAGCATGGCGCCTAAAGAATAGAAAATGTACGTGTGAGTAAAACTCGATGGCTTAAATACGCATACTCTGCTAAGGTGCATGTATTTGAAATTCGACCGAGGTAGAGGGTGCTAGCCACTTCCGTATGTCATTGCCAGGCTCGTTCAGGATGGTTCCCCTGCAGTGTTGAACGCGTCTCAGGTCTTGCCATCTGCCTTCACATACATGACGCATGAGTCGCGATCAGTGCCATCAGAAGGGCGTCCTCGCGCAGCTTCTGATACGTATACAACAATACCTACCCGTTCTATACGTCAGAATAATACCAGCCTACGAAGGGCATCGGATGCCACAAATACTACTCGTCCACTTCGTATAGCCAAACAGCAACGCGCTTCATCTGTCCATCCCGACCCGGCCAGTCCACACTATCACAGAAATTCGAATAATAATGCACCTAACTTCGACCGTGCTGCTAGCTGGCAACAAGCCCTTGATGCTCTAAATGGGAAGCGTGACTCGAGACCTGCTACCCCAGAGCGTGTGTATGATTCTCCAGCAGTGCAGCACCGCACGACTCTCAGTGATCCACACTATTCATCACCAGCATCTGTTCGGGACTCTCAACAATATCTGAAGCCTCCACCCCAGCTAATATATCCGAATACGCATCCCTCGTCACCAGCTCAAACCTACTACCTTCCGACGTATAATCAGTTTGGCCGCATGCAAGTACCGCAGCAGGAGCCCCAAAAGTCTTTTCCAACCCGTGCGTTCGAGTTCTTCAAGAGCATTGCAAAAGAACCTCCACTGCTGTCGCCACCTCCATCTCCGCCAGTCAGTCGCCGAACATCATTTGTGGGAGGCACTAGAACTCAAAATGATGAGAAATCTTCGCAATATCGACAGTCTGAGAGCGAGTACAGTCATGACGTGTTTGTTCGCGCGATGGATATCAACGGCGAATCGGACGCACGGAACACTTTAGTGACAGATGCAGATGTCCAGCTATACTCGGAGCCACCTCAAGGAGCACAAAAGCCGTTCTTTCTTAGGAATTTAAAGCAGGGTGCGATGGGAGAAGCATACGGAGAGACACATCTGTCCTATAGGGAACGAAGAAAGAAACGGAAGCATCAGATTGTTCACAATCGAGACAGTAAGTACTTTTTCCTATCTCGCTTCAGCGAATCTGACAAATATTTATAGCTGAGGATGCACAGCAGCGGTTTATAATTACTTTTGCACTTGCCCTTATTGCTTTCGGTTCACCATCTCATCGCATTGAACCGCAATTAGCTTCCACTGCGGCACTGTTCGAACTACCAGCACAATTCGTGCATACTCCTAACTGTGTTCAAATTTGCTTCGGCCGCCCAGAGGCGCATGCAAGTGAGACACTGCTAGTGAAGGCCAATTCTTCACTTGATCTTGGGCGTATACATGATACCCACGGAGTTTATCGCGCGGTCGTGCGTGATGAAATCAGTGCGACAGAAGGCAGGAAACGTCTGGAAGACATTATTCGGCGACCACCTACTTATTCACAAAAGCTGCAGTGCCTCTTCGCGTTTGTACAGGGAGTTGTTCTTTGTGGGAGCTCGTTTGGTGGAAGTCTCAATGATATGTGGGTGGCAGGCATCCTGAGCTTGCTTGCAACGATTGTGCAGAATCATATTGCGGACAGTCAGCATAGCTCAAGTGGATCAGAGTAAGCATACCTCTTCTTTGACTCGCTTCACTGATTGAGAGTGTGTTAGCGTGTTTATGGCTGCCATCGTCTCGCTAGTCGCTCGCGCCTTGTCATCGCGAGTGCCAGGCCAGATCTTTTGCTATCAATCCATATCGTCGACCGGTGTAGCAGGACTCCTTCCTGGATCTATCATGCGTGCGTGTCTAGTCATATGCACTACCCATTATAACGCTTCTGTAGCAACACTCACATTTCACAGTCTCTGGAGTTCTAGATATTGCAAGCAAAAATATCTTGCTTGGCTCGCCGAAGCTCGTCTCAGGCATCATGACGTCTCTTTACCTTGGCTTCGGTCTTACTATTGGCTCGGATATCTGGCTGACTTTAGATAAGAAAAGTCGAGATTATATGGCTTCGATGGCGGACAGGTTTGAAAGCTTCTACGGCACATTCTACTCGACGAACGACACGACACCCGATTGGCTAGCTGCTTCGAACCTCACAGGTACTTGGGCGTTTCAGGAGACTTCTTCGGCAGCACTACGCGACGTTATTAACGGGTGTTATCGCGATCCTTCGTGGAGCTGGTACCTCCGCCCGCTCCCTTGGTATTCGCTTGTCGTCCTACTACCTGTTCTGAACCTCGTTCTTAGCATGAGACGTGGACAACCATTGCTAACCAAACAGATGCCTGTAATGGTCATTATTAGTTGTATTAGTACTGCGGCGACGCAGGTGGCGAACCGAAATATGGGGTTGGCAGGACATCCAGATTACGCGGCGCTATTGGGTAGCTTTGTTGTCAGTTTGCTTGGAAATCTTTACTCGAGGAAGATGGGAGGCACTGCATATACGATTATGCTTACAGGAATCTGGCTGCTTATTCCTACTGGATTAGCAGAGGCGGGCGGGCTGTCGAGCTCTTATATCGAGCCTGGTCAGGATGAATATACCGAATCGCTGGATTTGGCGCGAAAGAGTAAGCACGACTGTTTATTTCGAGTGAATACTGTTCTGATACTTCGTTCGCACGTTCTCAGTGATAAGTGTCATTATTGGCGTCATGTCTGGTGTTTACCTAAGTGCACGTTTGATATATGCATTTGGAAAGAAGAAGAATAGTGCTTTTGTGACGTTTTGATTTTTCTTATGCTGTGCTTGTGCTTCACCGCAATTTTAAATATATTAAATATTCGTTCGAAGTCGTCTATTTGTACGCTGTTCAGCCCCCCAAAAAAAACATAGTGTGCTCATGGTTTAAGCTCTGTAGCGTCAGTATACTATCTTTTCTGAATGCACATTATGAGTTTGTCGCCACCGATGCCATTCATTGGGCAGACGATTTAAATATTGTCAGATTTATTTTTAGGTGAGATTTATCTGCCTCACGTGATGTACTTGCTGCTGCCACGCTTTGATGATGTCCTACCACGAACCAACACCGTCCACGGCAGTGGCAAGAGCACTCCTGACTATCACACGACCCAATTATTGGTTATGACTTGAGTGGGTACTCTGCTCATGTTTGCATTGGACAGTGAATGGTAACATTTATTCTCCGACTATCGCGCAGCAAGACAAGTCTACGATTGCGCAGGCAAACTTTTACAGCGTGTCTTCACTTCAAACATATCTTAGTCTTTGATCGTGTACTTTGAAGGGACTAATCACTGTGGAGTCGGTGGCCAATAATGACTGAGCAGCAATCACAAATGCATTCACGTCAAGAATCCTCCATCTCCGACGAGTTCGGCTCGTTTGTGACTGTACCTGCTACAGACGATCCTCTTGGCGCTGGAGTACAAAGTTTAAATCCGTTGACTCCTGGCTCTTTGGCTACTTTTGAGACGTTTGCGGATGATGCAAAGGAGAGAACGAAGAAGAATGAGAAGCGTGTATTGGATGAACTACGCGCGCATGAAGAGGATCCGTTGGCATGGCTTAACTCAGGTAACGAATCGAAGCAGTCCGAGGGACTAGAAACAAATGCTTCAATTCCCGGGACTCCGAGTATGTCCTCATGCATGTTAAGTTTTCTTCGACTAAGGGCTTCATAGGCAACACAGTCGAGGATGCGGTCGAAGCTCCTGACCCAGCTCTCAATCTGTTCAAGACAGATGTCTTAGACAGACGCAGATCATCTTCTCGCCCGACCGTAACTGATTCACCTGGACTTATCTCACTAGAGGACAATGGCCAAGGACCAATTTCGTCCGAGGACGGACAAGTTCCGAGCGAGGCGTCATCAGTCGCAGCACCTCATGCTATACCTGTTTCCTCCAAATCGGATCCTTTGGGAAATGTTTCGCCCTCTTTTGATCCCAATAACGAGACTTCACGACGCTCGTCTTCTTCCTTCCTCAGAAGACCTATTCTTGAGTCAAATGAAGGGCCAAGAGAACGTGCAGAGAGGAACGAAAAGCGAGTACTCGACGAACTTCGCGCTCACGAAGATGGTCCTCTAGGATGGTTAAAATCAAATACGGAGGACGATGAGACATTATCTTTCGCTTTACGTGAAGCAGGTTCAACGCTCATTGATCTAAGCACGCCCAGTTCCGAAGTACCTCCTCGCTCTCCCACTCCTTCAACTTCAGCTGCAAATTCTACTTCTGTGTCTGCTCCAATGTCTCCTCGACCTCCTTCGTTGCCGCGTGCAGCTTCGTCCCCACTAATCCCCCGGTCTCCCGATCGAGCGCGGAGCCAATCTCCACCTGGTCGCGTGCCAAAATCGCCGAGTATTGGTTCATCCCTTTCAAGGAGTTGGATGTCTTCACTTGGTCTCTTTGGTACGGCGCGAGCTGTTCCCGCTTCCTCTTCACCCTCTGCCGCTCATGGGACACACGACGCGCCTGCAGACGCTGGTGGTGCTGGCCTTAGTCCGACTCAGTCCACATTACATGCACTGTTTGCACGCGCTACTTCGGCTACTCCTTCACCATCTCGACATTCGCGATTCGCCACGGAGGGTCACTCGCCCATGCATGCGGCGACATTGCCATTACCTACTGCACCGATATTACATCCTGATGCGTCGCCTTTCTCAACTCATGTGTATATTCCTCCGAGTGGTGCACCTGGGTTTGCGGGAGAACGGAACTGGAATCCAGGAGATTTTGAATTTGATCCGAAGCGAAATACGACGGATGGAAAAACTGTAAAACTCGTAGGAAGGAGAGAGGTTACGAACCCTGTGCTGGACTCAGCACTCGCGGCTGCAGTAAGCAGGTCTTCTCCGCTTATAACTTCTGTACTAAAGTATTTTGAAAGCTGCGATCGCATTTACCACCCTTAAATCGTCTCGCGCAGAGCTGGACTCTCCTTTACAGTGCAGATCAGCACGGCCTCTCACTAAATACTCTGTACGCACGCTGTGCACCGCCTGTCATTGTAGGTGGCGGTGGAATCGTTCCAGGTACAAATAATGGTGCTCTCATCGCTATACAAGATGCAGAGGGTGGGGTTTTCGGGGCATGGGTTCCAGAGGGTGTGCACCTGAGTCATGGAAGCTATTACGGTGGAGGCGATTCATTCTTATGGAGCGTAGACAAGAAAGACGAGAACGTTGCCGAAGAACTATGCGTGTATAAATGGACAGGGCGTAATGAGTATGTTGTGTACTGCGATAATGACGGATTTTCTTTTGGAGGAGGGTACGTCATCTTGAGAGCTATATTGATGCCGCATGCCTATTTATTGTCCACAGAGATGGGCATTACGGACTGTACGTCGACGCGAGTCTTGTAGAAGGGACTACGCATCCCTGCCCGACGTTTGATAACGGATTTCTTGCACATGGTGAGCAGAAGGGGAGGATGGTTTCCTTTGATGCGGTTGGGTTGGAGGTATGGTCTGTTGGGTCTTAAATCACTTGCAGAGATCAACATTCTCTCCCTTTTGCTTATCGAAGTTGCTTTTGTCACGGATTCAATCATGTATGGACATGGACAATTTCTCAGAAACCTGTATCCATAATCATCGTTTTGGCTATGTATATTGATGTCGTGTTCTTAACACGTACATTCGTACGTTCACAGTCCGCCAGCTGCTTGTTTGTGTGAGAGGTCATTGCAGAGGCACACTGTTCAGGTGTTGTCAGCCTTGTAAAATTCATGCACTTTTTTACTTGTTTCCATCCAACAGTGCTTTTCATAGGATGCAATGTGAGGGGAAAGGCTTTGGAAACAAAGTACTTAATCAACAGTACTATATGATTTACAATACTCTTCTAGAATCACATGTTGGATTAACTTATGATCTTTCAGATACTGCAATACGGTTTAATGTAGCAATTTGCCTTTAATTATAGCAAGTAAACTCTGGTCTGAAGTTATGAAACATTTTTCTCACAACTTCTTACTATGCTCAAATTTTTTGTACCCAACTCCCCCTACAGAAGGTCACATATGCACTGGTGTTTCATCTTCAAGCATGATTATCTTATGTGCTCAACAATTTTATGGCAATATTGGCATGTTTGTCAGGCGACAGCCCAGACATGGTTCTCAGTCACATTATCCCAGACAACAATTGTGCATACAGAAGTACTCAAGGGATCTTAAGCAAATTTATTCAAGGAGAAATGATTGTTGGCGACTCTATTGCTCAGCTGTTATGAGTCTAGACCGATCAACAGGACAAGCGATAAGGAAACGAATCTTCAACTATTAACGAAGCTGCTAGAAAACGAGGCTGCTGGGCCTTTATTTGTTCAACTGACTTGGTGCAAGATGAATGATTCCCCTTGGGACTGACCGGCACTACTGAGATCATTAAGCAGCAAGACGCCACTACCACCCCGGACGCGTAAGAATAGACGAGTTGCTGGACGGGGAGGGAATGCTACATAATCACATGTCAATTCTGTGGACGTCATGTCTGCTGAATCATCTGCCAACCATTACTGCCTTGCATTCCTCTGATACACGAGGCTTTGCAAGAATGAAAAGATGGCTCGCAGGTTCAGTTATGTAAGCCTGAAAGCAGACAATCGTGCGTTGAAGTTGTGTCACCCTCCTGACTGATTCAGACTACTGTAAGTTGACGTATCACAACGATGGAAATGCGCCGCGGATCTTGAGCAACAACTGATTGGCACCGTTACTCTGTATATAGAAGCATCTCATAGTGTCCTTTGTTTTCGAGTCTGTGTTTTACAAACAATCAAATAAGTACGATGATAAACTAGCGACGTACGTACTAGACATTAGCCCTTGACCAAGAACACCTGTAATTTCCCAGCATTGATCGAGCTAGACGCCTGAGTAGACCAGAACATGAACGTGTACATCATAGGACTATAATCGTTAGTGATGACCAGGGCTCCAACAGTGTTGTACAGGGCTGGATGGACGTGCGTAGAATTCCCTTTCAATAAGCACCCTTCCCCCTCGAAAAGAAATGAGGTTCCGACTATCTGCTATGACGGCCTTGTTGTGCAACGTTGTTCGAACATAGCGTAAAGATGCCTTAGGGTCACGGTGGAGTGTCCCTGTCGCTTGACAGTAGTTGTTAATGTGGCTTCTATCAGAATACAAACTCGACGCGAGTGGCCTACCGAAACAACGGACTGCGGTATCCTTCAACGCAACGCCTGTCGGTTTGAAAACATTGGGCAAAAGGGGTAGAAGCTGGCCTTCAATGCTTGGACAAACAATGTGGCGTAAAGTAGCGAAACGTTGCGTGTAGACACGAGTTCTTTAACAGCGTGTTGTTGAAGCAAATGTCAGCATTGTTGGACTATACAGGAATGTTCATGTTTACCAAACAATACAAGGTGTTCTCAAGGTTCACCTGAGGACCGAGGGGATACTCTCGCTGACGCCGAGGAAGGAGGGACGCGACAAGACAAAAGGTCCTTTATCTCCTTTTGGGACGTTCAAAACTGAGACCCCTTTTCGATCCCTTCAACCAAGACTCACTCTCAGAGCAAAGAAGACCGCCTCGTGTTAAAGTCGACCCTCCTTCATATACACGAAACGCTTCTTTGTGGTTCCTTCTTAGTAAGGGGCAACTTGATTAATCGAGTGTGGAGATGAAAGAATAATTGCTTTAGTAACGATGTCTTACCTTTGTGGCATAGTTATTTGTTCACGAGTTTGCCTTCTCCCTGACAGACGTGAAACGTGTACTTGATTGCAGATAGCTCGCAATGTGACTCAGGTATATGAATTGCTGAACCAGCGCTACAGGACATTCCCCGCGTTTTTCTTATTGGTTAGAAAGAGGCAGAACCCGGGTCGATCCATGGATGAACTCATAGATTATCCGCAGTCCATTACGCAGATTCGTCCCATCCCACGAAGATTCTTCCAGGGCCCCCTTTGTCGGTTTCGATAGGAGACAATGATCGCATCGTTTACAGAGTAATATCGTTGATAGTCGGAACAAATTGTTAGCAACAAAGCCTTGCACCAAGGAGCAATCAAACATGTGTACATGGGCGCATGAGAGTCAGAGAACATAGACTTACTTATCGGACGAGTGATGGGAAAACAGATAGGTTTGGATGGAAATCAGCAGTGGATGCTAAGCGGACGGCATTATCTATACGAATTTCTCATCGTGCAGATCATGCAACCTGTCTGGAGTGAGTATTTGAAAACAGTCACCATATTGCGTTTTGCGATCTGTTTCATCCTGAGGCATTGTTAGGGAAGAGAGCACCGTTGACAAGGGAGATTGTACGTTTAGGCTGCTACAATATCGCCTAGGGCGAACTAGCCGTGAGTTTGTCCGGTGTAAGCCTCGAGCTGCATTCTCTTTGTCAATGAATTGAGCGTTGTATTCGGATGGTTAGTTAGACAAGGTGAACGAAGTGCATTTCTGTAGAGCATACAGAAATGCTCGCAACCAAACTTTTCGTGTGTCGCAACTTTTGTCGTTTGTTCACTTTGTTGAATTGTGTGGGTGTCTCGGCTAATCCCGTTCGGTGTTCAAACAAGTCACCTGGTGGACAATACCCAAAAGAGGCAGCGCCGACGGCTCATCAAGTCAACCTTGTGGAATTACTACTGTTTTCACTACACAGATGCGCACATAACTCTTGCTTTGGTGCCTGCCGTGATTAATTTGTTCGCGAAAATCCTGTGCCTTTGAGCTACATGGGATAAACAGAACAACATACAGCCTTCGGTCGATAACTAAGGAAAAATGAGTGATCTACGGATTTGACGGTGTCATTATCATCGGTGTGCTGACTATTCTGAATGATTACGCCGAGGGTATAGTACTTGTTATGCATATGGTTGAAAATACAGCACGTGGGATTGCATGTTCTTGCACTTCTTTGCAATTCCTTGCAATTCAATTGTAGAGTTCCATCTGCTCGCGTGTCAATTTTAGACTTTGTTTCATGTTCAGAAGGAAATCGAGGCGTTTGAAGCGTGCCAACAACCGGATTAGGGGTCACAGTAATAAAGGCGCATCACGAACAGTATTGACGAAGACGAGACCATCGTGAAGTGAGCATGATTCTCCTCAAGTAGAAGAGTAGAAGTTTGATTGAGGTCTATGAATAGAAGTGTAGAACAAGAAATCTTCGAGCGAATGATGTCAGCCGGATCAAGAAGACGGAGGGAAGAGAAGAAGAGGGAAGGAAGGAAGGCTAATTGTGTAACGTGGCGATGATACCGGAGGTTGACAGCTTGCTTCTATGTCACAAACCGATCACACTCGAAGGAAAAGTTATTTGAAACTGAAATGCAGAAGCGGTGCTGACATGTGTCTGTGAACATGATTCCAAGGATATTCACCAGTCCAGGCTGCATGTAAGCTTCGCGGGCATTTTGAATTTGTCTTTTCAGTGAAGCGTCTTATTCGAGTGTGTGAGAATTGAATTGATGTCTAGAGACGGCCGCAGCAAAGAATTACAGAGCTTGCATAACGATGGCTGACGAGTCGCCAAGATACTCGGTGGCAGTGTGTGTATCAATTTCACCGCGTAAATAACACAGATGAGAGCGCTTGATTATCGAATTGTGGAAGCACGAGGTTCAAGATCTGTAGTCAACTATTGACCGAGAACTAGTACGAAACGCAGACACAGCCGGCAGAGTCGGGCTATAGATACAGAATCTATACAACTTCTGGCCTTGTATTAGGTTTGCCTGACACAGTGAAGATGAATAAAGCGTCAAAAATAAGGTAAAGATCGAGCCTTGGAACACAAAGATCTTTTGATAGTAGAGTTGGAGAAGGCCAGGAAACGCGGGTCGCGGGATCTTTGTCATTTCTTAGCAGAAATCATCTGCCGCGTGGCCCAACAGCAGTCCGGTAAATAAGCCTGGCTATAAGATTGACCGAGTCCTTACTCCTTACCTCAACATATTTTGACCTATATCCATCGCTAACTCATGACCTATAGTATGGTGGCTGAATCAAGTCACAGCCTTTCATTTTTTCCAATACATCGTCTTCTGAAGACAGGGGCTTAAGGTTGGCCACTTGTAAACGAAGCTAGTAATATGAAATCAAGTTGAGATAATCACTGACAAGCCAGTACTGTTCCCCGAGTCGAGGGTGGAGAGTATAGATCAACAAACATAGATAAAATATACTAGTCTTGCGTTACACTCAGATCCCCTGGATCAGCTAAAAGAATTACAGTGCAGTGCCTATGAAGCAGGGTACAGAGCGAGACAACAAACGGAACATGTAACGAAAACAACGATTTCATCAACGGTTGGCCAGTTAATAGTCTACCTTGTACTTGACTTTAAATAGCAAAGTACCTTGATTTGGACTCACCGACAGGCACGTAAAGTTTGTCAGCGTCGAAGCATACGAGCATTTACGTACTGGTCTATTCTTGACGGAGTGTTTGATGCGAACACTGGATTGTGGGGAGTTTTTGGATCGACGCCATGGTGGAGATTTTTTTGTTTCTGGGCTTTCGCTTTGGGTAGTAAGGATATGCGAGGGAGATTGAGCTGCCCAGTGGAGCGTTGAATGCTCTCGCTTACGTTTAGCAGTTGGATACCGCTCCAGAGAGAGAAAGCTAAAATGACGCAAATCGTTTTGTTCAGCATAGCAAATAAACAAGATTCAGTTGGCAAAGAGAGCTCAGGAGAACGCGTAAGATGTGCGTTGATGAGGTCGGGAGACCGGGGCCGATAACGCGAAAGCAATAATGAAGAGGAGAGGGAATTAAAGAGGGGGGCCTGGTTAGAGAGGTGTCTCGCGTTGTTATGCATGCTGATGGACGAGTCTCCCCACAATGTCAGATTAGGCGCGGTTGATTCATTAAAAAAATGCGCATGTCTGGGAGAGTGAATTGCGAGAGTAAGTATGAGTGTTTGGTCGGTGTTGTAGTAGTACAGTGCTGTAATTCTTTGCAAATAAAATTAGCAAATAGAGTTGGAGGCGTATGTAAATCAACAGTTGTAGGGTCAGAGGAAGCGGTGCGGGAGCATAGGGACGAGGGTGGACGGAAGTGGACAGGGAGATTAGGGAGATGAAGGGAGTGATGACGTTCGATAAGGGTGGGATAAGACAAATAATGAAGAATAGAAAATAAAATATGGAGAGGGGGGACAGGAACGGGAACGCCGTTTGATGGGGATTGAATGGGTCGAGTAGCCGAGCCGAATGCGGACTATAAGCTGTGCTGATGGCGACGGGCGGTCGATGAATCGAGTGTTTGGTGAGCGAGAATAGGAGGACGATGCGAGTGAGGACGAGGTGAAGGGAAGACGAAAGATGGAATCGAGAAAGGATAGTGAATCTAGGATTGTGTTGAGGGAATGGAGAGGGCAGAACACGCTTTTCTGTGCGAATTCAGTTGGTCAGGACACGTGTTCCCATATTGGGCGAATAGGGTTTGATGCCAGAGACCTGCTCTGAGAGTGAAGCGCCCCGGCTAAAAGAGGCGCAGACCCTGACTCTACACCTTCTTGTCCTCCTCCTCCCATCTCCTCCATTCCCTTCATTAACACCACAGAGCCCCTTCGTCTCCGGTCACAGCGGCGTCAACGCAGTACACGCGCCTCCTTGCTGGTACCCCTCTCTCCGTCGTTAAACGCGTCGCGTTCTACGCTTCGGAACACCGGCTTATTCTCCGATAGACGGGAACACAACCAGCTCTAGCTCTAGCTTTAGCTCTAGCTCCAGCTCCAGCTCCAGCTCTAAAGCAAACGCGACGAACACGCCCAAACTCGCTTAGTCCTCTCAATACATCTCTGCGACGATGCCGCGTGCACCGGCGCAAAAAGTGAACAACGCCAGCGCGTCCGCAGGCCATCCCTACTCAATCGCCGCTGCCGCGGGTCCGTCTACGTCCACTCCGACCTCCTCGGGTGCTGCTCACTCCTCACATATCCAGCACCCGCAGCAGTATCAACAGAACCAGTTGTCCCCTCCACTCATGGGCTCACTCGCTATACAGTCCTCGGATTATGCTCTACAGCAGCAGCAGACCCGACATCGTGATGACAGCCTAGGAGGCTCAAGCTCCGCGCAGACAAGTCCTCGCGATAGTCCCCTCGTGCAGACTCAGACTCTCCGCAGATCAGACGCGAATCGGGATCCTCAGAGGCAGAGAGTCGTGCAGGAAGGATCGACAAGTATGAAGAAGGATCCAGGCGACCCCCCGCAAGCGGTCCCTAATGGAAGCATACCCTCCACTGGCCCTACCCCTTCCTCCGCTTCAAGTGCCTCATCGACACCCGCAAGCGGGTCAGGAACAACTGGCGCTGCGTCAGCAGCAGGAGGGACTACGGGCAAGAAGAAACACGTATGTAGCACGTGCGATCGTGCATTCACCACATCGGGTCATCTCGCTCGTCATGCACGAGTCCATACAGGCGAGCGTAATCACAAGTGTCCGTTTCCTGGCTGTGAAACGCGGTGCTCAAGACAGGACAATCTACAACAACAGTACGTGTATACACTATGACTCCTTATTCGCTAAACTAGACTGATGCTATGTCCGCTTAGTTATCGAATCCATCTATCCCCTGGTTCCCGACGCTCGTCCTCTTCGGCAACGCGCGCAGCTATCCAGCGTGCAATCTCGAACCCGCCTACTACGTCAGCGATCACTGTCACTGCGGGAGCACCCGCGAGCGTCCTGGGGGATCTCGACACACCTCCCCCTCTGGCCCAGGCGACCCTTCCAGCTCCGTCTCTCAGTCAGGCTCACCATGTCCCGTATCCTCAGCATCACCAAGCATATCCTGGCGCCCCCCAAACCTCTCCCCTCGTACAATCACATGTTCCCTCACCACATCTTCCGCAACATCCGTATCCGCAGACTCCGCCTATCCAGAATGGGAACGGGCACGGGCACATGTACGAAAACGGAAGTGGAAGTGGTTTGCCAGGAGCTCCGGACATGCCGCAGCATGGATATGGCCGTAGCCAGCCTGAGAGTCCCGCCGACCGCAGCGCACCCGCTAGCGCTTCTCCAAGTGCAGACGCAAGTCCTGTTATTGGCGGACCCGGATCTACACCCCAGTCATACCCCGGTCCGCCTCCACCGTATGTTTACGTCCAACAGACCGGATACTATCAGTCTCAGCAGAACGCGTCACCCTCCCTGCCTGGTTCCTCGGCAAATGGTTCCTCCTACGCACCCCCTCCGCCTTCGTCGTCCAGCTCGAATGGTCAATTTCCGCCGCCACCGCAGATTTCGACGTTCTATCAGCAACATCACTATCCAAGAGAAGCTTACATGAACACCGCTCCACCCTCTTCGGCTCCTGCACAGTCACAGGCGTCGCCCAATTATTCCACGCCTCCCCTACCCCAGCAGGGGCACGATCAGCAACGATATATAGATTCTTCCAGGGCAAAGACGAAGAAGCGGGCACGGTCGAGTATTGGATCAATGACGAATGGTGAATTGAGTCCGAGTGATAGCCCTGTTGTTCCGAATTCGCAGGCACATCCGAATGGGCGCGCGAATGGGCAGGGTCAAAGCAACGTCTACGCATTTTACGGCATGGCGACTCCGTCATCGTCAGCAGGCAGTGCCACTGCGGCTGCTCCACCTCACAGCAGTGGCAGCGTCGCAAGCGCGCCTCCACCGTCGGCTGCTTCTTCGCGTGGCGTTGGTGGTGGTCATTATGCCGTCAATGGCAATGCGAATGGTTTTAATCAATTCCAGCTTCATACACCGCCACCTTCTGCACCCCCGCCTATGACGACTTCGTCATCAAGCTCAGGCGTTACAACTTCTTCAAACGTGTCGTACACTTCGAACCATCCTTCCTACCCGCCTCAGAGTATAGACAGCAGTGGAGTAGAAAACGGGACTGGAACGCATTCACCGCCTTTAGTGCTTGCTCCCATTCAAACGAAACGAATGTCATATCACGAGGCGCTTCCAAGCCGGTATACGTACAGCAGCCAAAATACAAGTCATGCAAACAACAACTATCCTCCACCGACCACAGCGTATGCGTCAGTCGGGAAGGGTTATAGCGAGTAATGTGGCGACGGAACTTGATGGTGGATAAACTTCGAGGCAATCGATGTCATTTTCGTTGATTTCCTTCTTTCTGGTGTGTCATTTAGTCTTTCCCCTTTTCTTTGTGCCTATATATTCGCATTTCTTCATTATTCATTGTACATCTTTGCATTTCGCATTATTTGCATTTATTACACCATCCTCTCCATCTCTATTACGTTGGCTCTTTCTTTTCCGTTGTTCGTGATTCCTGCAACTTGCTTCCTCTTTAGGTCTCCTCACTTTTGTTGTCGTACGGCTGTATTTGTCCCTCTCAGCTTAGCTATCGTTCGCTTGCCTGCCTGTCTGTCCGTACGCACACTACTGCCTTTCATAGCATACTGCCTATCACAGTATATTTCCTATTTCCTACTTCTACCCACAAAGAGTTGTATTAGTTTACTCTCTCAGTTTCTTTTCCTTTTCCTTATTATCTCTCAACTCAAAAAGTGATTAATTGCCCCTGAAAGCTTTTTACTTACTCTGTAATAAATAACTGTTCTCTAGCATATTGTATTATAATCTTTACAGCTTAAGTATTTACTCATTCATTTTCAGAGTAGAGTGAATACTACTTTTTAACAAGTATAGTAGAAATACTCTTTAGCTCTCTTAAGACATTGAGTGTGTGTCTGTCTTATATACTATAGGGGGGAAGTCTAAAACATTCTAAGTACAGTAATACTATATAAGACAATTAGGGTTTCCTAATATAGAATACAAAGATAGAGTACAATCTAATACTCTCCTTTAAGTATTAATTAATAACTAAGAGTGTATACCTAATAGTTTAATTAGATACTTAATATTAATATAATTGTTTTAAATATAGTATTGTATAAAGTCTTTTTATAAATTAAGGTACTTAGTATAAGTATTATACATTATTTTGTTAGACTTTATAGTCTTTATTATACTTTAGTTATTATAATAAATTGTAATAAGTACTAATTTAGTTTATAGTACCTCTTTAGTAAATTGTTTGAGTTAAATAACTTTTTAAGTAGTATATACTAGTACTTATAACTTAGCTTTATAAACAAATAATAATACTAAATTTTACTATTTACTTAACTAAAATATAGTTAATTTAGCTAACTGAAAAATGTAACTGTTTATTACTTTATGTCCTTCTATCATTTGTTTGTCTGTATTATAATAGTCTTATAGTTTTAAAGTATTTATACTTTTAAGTTAAAGTTAATAATTTGTTATATATTTTAAATATACAAAGTAATATTTTACTACTTTATAATAATACATTTAAAGCTTTTATAAGTAGTATACTAATGACTTAGTAATATAGAATATGTTTGACTATATACAATTTATAATATATTTTAATAATTCTATAATATTTATATATAGTATTATTTTATTATTACTTTTATTTGTATTATATATATTGTTTGTATTATTAGATAAATCTATTTTAAAAGTAATAAGTGTTTATAATACCTTTTTATTTTTAAAGTAATAATATTTAATTATACTCTTAATATAATACTTTTACTATAAGCTAATTATTTGTTAAAGTCTATTTTAATATATTTTAATATTAAGTAACTAATGTATTTTGTTATTATTAGTAAATATAATGTATTGTCTTAATATATGTTTAAATACTATTATTATAGTAATAGTTTTACTAATAATTATAATATTATTAATGTATATAAATGTTATAAGAATTATTTTATTATTTTGTTTCTTATAAAATATAGTATAATTATAATTAGCTTGTTCTAATTTAATCTTAAGTAATAGTTTAGTAATCTTCTTATACTATTGTCTACTTAATTGTTTTAATCTGTATAATACTTTATTTAAATATAATACTTGTTTAAGTTTAATATTTATAAGTAACTTACTTAGTAGTAACTTTATATAAATAAGCTTATTATTAGTAACAATATAGAGAGGACTTAAAGACTTAGTAAGAGGACTCAGACTATAACTATTTTATATAATAGAAATACAGAATGTAAACATTAGAATATAGTTAGAACTTATAAAACAGATAGAGAGAGAGAGTAAAATAAGAGTAGAGTATATAGAGTAAGTTTAAGAGTATAAAACTATTTAGAGTAAACAAAATTAAAACTATAAAACTAGTTTAATCTTATATACTTATATATACTAAATTATATAAGAGTACTTAAAGAGTATAAACTATTAAGAATAATAAGTTATAAAGAATAAAAGAAAAAAAGGTTAAAGATAAAAGTATAAAGAATAAAAGAATAAATAAAGAGTAAAAAACTATAAAATAAATAAAGAATAAAAGGATAGTTAAAAGAATAGAATAATAAAGTAAGAAAGAGTAGTAGTAAGAGTTAGTATATATATAATTTATAAATAGTACTTTTAAAGGATAGAAGTTCTAAGTTCTAATATAAAAGAGTATAAAACTCTTAAAACTAAAAGTATAAGAGTAAAAAATTATAATATTACTCTCTCTCTAAAACTAATTATTCTAATTAGTAAACATTAGACTTAATTAATAGTTTAAATATAAGTTAGAATAGTAGAGTTTAGAAATTTATAAGATAGAGTTAATATAAAGTACTTAGATAAAGTTAATAAAAGTCTTAAATTATTTTAGTAGTATAAGTAAGATTCTTAACAGGTTCTTAAGTATATTCTTTAACTAAGTATTCTTTTTAGTAAATAAGAAACTTAAGCTTTTTATATACTAACTTAGTATTTACTATATACTCTATTTTGTATTTTAGTTTAAAACTAATAAGTTCTAGTAAAAGTAGTAAGAGTCTTTATTATAAAGGAAAACTTAAATTATAGTATTAAGATAGTAAAACCTTATTAAATACTAAGTGTATATATTTTTATATTGTTAAAAGTTAGAGTTTATAAACAAAAGTACTAACCTTCTTTTTAATAATAAAGAGTTTAAAGTACTTATTGTTTAACTTCTTTATTAAGTAATTTATAGTTAGATTAATAGTTTCTAATATAACTTTGTCTCTAAATTAATAATCCTTAACTGTAAATCTTTTCTAATTATAGTTCTACTTTATTACTTATACTACCTTCTTTAAAAGAGTTTATATATCTTTCTTAGTTTTATATATTTATTTTATAAAGTTTGTTATAGATTTAAAACTATTATTCTAGTTTAAAACTGTTCTCTAGTATAAATATCTTTTATAATTAAGAAAGAATAGAGACTATTCTATTATAAAGTATTACTAGTTATTATACACAAATTCTGTTAGAGTTAACTATTTAAACTAGTCTAACTATTAATAATTAATAAACATTTAAAGATAGAGTTTAATCTTTTAATTAACTTACTTAGTTTAACTATTAGTTTATAAATAATATATAGTAGAAAGGTTTCCTTAAATTCTAAAAAGTATATATAAGTTTTATATAAATTTTAACTTAAATTATAGTTTACAATTATAAATAAGTTTTTAAGAGAGTTTATATAACTAGAAAACATAATTCTAATAAATACACATTATACTTTTAGAAGTAAGTTCTGTTTAAGTTAGAACTATATAAACTTATTTAGAGAATAAGTTAATAATTATATAAATAGTATTATAACTCTAAAACTTAAATAGTTTACTAATTAAATTTACTAAAACTTCTTTCTAAAAATAATCTAGAATCTAATACAAATGTAAAAGAGTCTAAACTTTTATTTAGTAAGTTTTAGTTTGTTAGTATATATTGTAACTAGTTATATATTTTAGGATTTCTTTTTACATTTCTAACTATTAATAGTTTTAAGTAATAAGTTCTTACATTTTATATTAACTTAAATGTTTTATAGTTAAATTATTATAATAAGCTTAGATAATGTTCTTTTACAGTTTCTAATTCTTTAAAACATATAGTTAGTCTTTCTAATAAATCTATTCATTCTTATTCTTTTTCTAATTTTTAACTTACTTTTCTAACTATTTTACTATAATTTAGTTTTATATATATTTTAAAGCTTACTATATATAAGTAACAAAGTTAACATTCTTAGATTTAAGTTAGATCTCTTAGATTGTTTTAAATACAAAATAGGAATTATTTAGAAGAACAAGATTTTTATTATTATTCTCTCTCTTTTTATAACTTACTTGTTTTAAGAGTAAATTAACTTTTATTATTTATATTCTAAGTTTATAAATTAGTATAAAGTTATAGTTTTATAGTTCTAACATTTAGTAAGTTTAATAGTAGTTAAACTTCTAAAGTACTTAAAAGTACTAAAGATTAAAGTAATTACTTTAAATCTTAAACTTTTATATAATACTAAAAAGATATTAATATTACTCTTTTAAAGAACAAATAATAGTAAAGAGTTTCTTATTATAAATAGAGTAGTTCTGTTCTATTATAAAGAGGGATTCTAATTAGAATACTATTAAATACTATTTTCTATTAATAAACTAAAACAGTACTACTTTATTTATAAAGTTAGAAAAGTTAGTTTTAACTTAAAACTTGTTTATAACTGTTAGAACTACTAATACAGACTTACTAATAATAATTTACTTAAAAGACTTAAATGTAAACTATTACTAATTACTTTATTACTAAGAAACATTTTTACTAGTAAAATTGTAAAAAAGTTAAATAATAGTATTAAAGTTTTAAATAAAGTATTAGTAGTAGTTTACAAATTTAAGAAACACTTAAACCTGTTTTAGATTCTAAAGTTATAACTAGTTTTAAACTATAATTACTTTTGTTAGATTTATACAGACCTTTTCTCTACTAATTATAAAGCTTAAATAATTTACTAACTTTTATATAAAAGAATACTTTACTTCTTAAAGAAATAGTTTATTATTTTAAAACTATTATAAAACTACTTAAATTAGTTAGTAATAATACTTAACTATTTAAGTAAAAATTAGAATATTGTTTAAATACATACTAACATACTTTAAGTTAATCAAATCTGTAAGAATATAATTTATAAATAATTAGAATGTTATAAGTAAGTTAGTTAGTTT